GGCTGCGGCGCCCGGGGGCCCGCGGCCGTCTCGGCGCGCCTCGAGGCCAGCCCTGGAGTGCCACGGCTGCGAGTCGCGGCGAGGGCAGACGTCGCCTTCGTCGGCGCGAGGGGCGCCTTCCCTCCTCCCTCCCTGCCTCCCTCCTGCCTCCCTCCTGCCTCCCTCCTCCCTCCCTCCTGCCTCCCTCCTCCCTCCTCCCTCCTCCCTCCTGCCTCCCTCCTCCCTCCCTCCTGCCTCACTCCCTCCCTCCCTCCCTCCTTCCCTCCTCCCCCTCCTCCCCCTCCTCAGCCAAGTGATGGTCCTCCTTCCCTCCTCCCTCCTCCTCCCTCCCTCCCTCCCTCCTCCCTCTGGGAGCCCCCCAGAGCCGCGCCCATCGCCGATGGCAAACGTCCCCATTCATCGCCGTTCTCGTCTGCCGTCGTCTCTTGATCTCACCATTGGCATGGTCGTCGCCGCCCTCCACCACCAGCATGATCGCAATCACACCGTCACCGTTGACCTGGTCGTCAACGGCGTCTCCATCAACTTCGCCAAATGAGCCGCCAATTTGATCGGCACCGTTCATGTCAACACCGTCGGCGTGATCACGGCCGTCGTGGTCTATCTCCACGCCCTCGCGGCGCCGCCGCTCCCGCCAGGCGCCACCGCTGACGCCCATCATCCGCACCACCTCCACGGTGAGGGTTCCCCACGTTTCGTGAGTGCTGATGACCCTGGCGCCCGGAACTCTCGCCCGATGACTCCGAGCTTGAGGACAGCACAACCCACTCTCACCCCCAGCCAAGATCCCCATTCCCGACCTGGTGATCCAGGGGGTCCTGGCTGGGGGTGGGGGAGCGTTTTTGTTGAACCTGGGGGCCAAAAGCCACCCTCACCCCCGGCCAGGACCCCCTGGATCACCAGGTAGGGGGTGGGAGTCCTGACTGGGGGTGGGGTTGGGTTGTGCTGTCTCAAAAGCTCCAAGCATCCACCTCTCATCGGGAACTTCTCTCCGACCTCGGCTCCTGATAGTCCCACGGAGTGCGAGTATACCCAGCCTCCAAAATCACCCTTCTCCTCCACGCCCCTCCTCCCGCCCAGGCTCCTGCACACTCCATCCTACCTCCTTTCTCCTCTTCCCTCCTCCCTCCCTCCCTCCCTCCTCCCTCCCTCCTCCCTCCCTCCTCCCTCCCTCCCTTCCTCCTCCCTCCTCCCTCCCCCGCTCCCTCCAGTGTAGCGCACTGGGAGGCAGCAGAAGCAACAGCAGCAGCAGCAGCAGCAGCAGCAGCGGGAGCACGGGGTAGAGGCGGGGCCTCCCTCGTGCGAGCGCTCGGCCGCCTGCCATCGCTCTTTGAGAGGGCAGAGCGAGGCAGAGTCGGAGCCTTCTTACTGGTCGTGAACTCCTCCTCTCTCCCAGCATCTCTCCTCCACACTCCTCCAGCCTCCCTCCCCCTCCTCCCGCTGGCCATGCGGTACAAGGAGCGCGCCGTGAGGGCTAGGCCAGGGAGCCGAAGCCGGCTCCGTCAAGAGCCGCGCCGGCGCGCACGGGAATCGGCGTCGGGGCTGGCAGGGAGGGAGGGGGGGCGGCGGGGCGGGTCCTTCATGAGGGCGACGTCGGTCTTCCACTGCGGGAGGGCGCGCGCGCGACAGCAGGACCAACCACTCGGAAGTTAAGCATTATCCGCCCTTCTTGGCGCGCAGCTCTGTCAACGCATGGACGTGGGTTTCTCCGTTTAGTGGGCGCTTCGTAGGCCAACGGCAGTAGCTAGGTCGTTCTCGCCCTCCTTCGCCCTCTTCGCGGGCAGCCAGATCACGCGGTCCCACCGCACGACAGACGGGGTGCACCCAGAGCAGCTGCCGCAAGGGGGAGCACAATACCAAGGACATTCAGAGGCAGGAGCGATTGAGTGAGGCGGGTGCGACTGGCAAAGAGCACACGAAGAGCAGCAGCAGCGGTGCGGGAAACACTGGGGAACAGCTCCCGCCGCGAAAGCAAGCGGCTCTCACATCAGGCGCCCCCTCTGGCATTTTCTGGTGACGAGGCAAGAGAAAGAAAGAGAGAGAGAGAGAGATAAAGAGAACGAGGGGCGAAAGGGACTACGGACCCCTCCCTCCCCCCCCCACACACACAATCGCACACACACACACACACACACACACACACACACGCACACGCACACGCACACGCACACGCACACGCGCACACACACACGTACACACACAAACACACACACGCACACACACGCAGATGCGCACGAGCACAGACGTTATCTACTTTTGTTCTGCTTGGAGGAGAGAAAGCGGCCTCCAATGTTCACCCGAACGCGCCTGGCACGGTAGCATGGAGCCCACACGCCGCCTGCGTGTACATTCGCGTGCGCATGCACGTTCACAGACACGTACACGAACGCGCCATGCAAACGAACAGCGAGACAACCGTGACATCGACAATGTCAGGCAAATTGCTTACACTGCACTCGACCAAACCAGTGAGAGCGGCGCGCTGGCCGATCCAAAACAGCCAGAAGGAGGATTACAAGGATGAGGATGAGCAGGTGCGCCGCGTGCTTCGTCTTCGTCTGTCCCCCCTCCCCCCTCCAACGTGCTTTCGTCTGCGCATCGCATCGTCTGTGTCGTGTGGGGCGGGCTCGGGCGCAATTGGCCGCGGATCTTCACTCGCGAGGGTCGCCAGCAGCAGAAGCAGCAGCAGAGGCTCCGACCGATTTCTGGCACGCCCCCAGGGACGGCAACGCCTGGTGGTAGTGGTCACACGCCACGTTGCCGGTGGCTCCTTTGCGGACCATGCCCCTGTTCACGTCGCAAGGCGCCTTCCCGCTTGCGGGGCTCGTCTTGCACTCCTCCCCTCATCTCTGCCCGCACAGCAAGCGCTTGCTCTCATCGTCCACTTCTTTCTCCCGCCCCTTGCCTCCCCCTTTCCCTCCCCAGCTCTGGCTCACCTCCCTAAGCCCTCCCTACCTCCCGTCTCCCCTCCCTCCCTCCCTCTCGAAGTACCTCCCTCGCTCGCTCTCCTCCGCTTCCCTCCTTGCCTCCCTCGCCTCCTTCCCCCGCCCGCCTCCCCTCCTCCCTCCACCCCGAGCAGCGGTTCCTGGTCCTCGAAGCAATGGCGTCTGCGCTGGAGCGCGCGGCGACCGGCTCCTTGGGCAGCTACCGTTCTTGGTCAATTTGTGGAGTGAGCTTTGCAGATCGGTACCGGAAGCATGGAGTGATGAACTTTCAAAGGATTGGGACACGGCAGTACATGGACATTCGGCATTACAAGCGTCGCTTGTCAGAGCATGTCAGAGCATGCATGAGTGAGAAACGAAGCTATCTTTCGATTTCCTCTGCGCCAGTATTGCTGGGTAGAGTCGGCTTACGACCCTAAACGATTGTCCAAGGCAGGCCTGCAACAATGCTCCCAAACGGAAATATTGGCAGTGGAACTGTCGACATTCTTGGCTCCCCGGCATCTCAAAATCAGGTGTGGTTGAACAAGACTGTCCGGGCAGGACCTCCCCATGGAGAGCCTCTGGCAGAGGACTTGCTCGGACCGCTGCAGCTGAAGGCGCACCTGTAGCACCAGCTGTCAATCCTGCTTCGCACTTTCGTGGAGGACAGCGATATCACCGCCTTTGCGGAGGCCTTGGAACTCGTCGATGGCCCGCTTCGACTTGCTTCGGATCAGAAGCCCCTGGTCGACTCCTGGACTCAAGGTCGGCACTGACACGTGAGGTGCGCTGGAGGGCCAGGATGAGGCGTGCTTCCCAGGAGGTGGTCCCTTCCCCGATCCGGGTCGTGTGGATCCCCTCTGCCCAAGACGAGGGCGAAACTCGTCCTTCGTCTGCCGCGCCCCCCACCCTTGGGAACGAGCGTGCGGACGCCCTCGCTGTCCAGGAGGAGAAGGAGGAGGAGGAGGAGGAGGAGGAGGAGGAGGAGGAGGAGGAGGAGGAGGAGGAGGAGGAGGAGGACGTCGACGAGGGCCTGAGATCGCAGCACCGGGGGCCGAGCGACGGGATGCGGCCGCGGCCGCCGTCCGCCGTAGGGCGCGGAGAGCTCTGACTGCGTCGATCTCGGCCGACCCTCGGACCGCCGAATGCCCCGACGTGGACAGGACCATCCCGCCCTGCGGAGGCCCTCCAGGGCTCCCGGCACCCCCGGAGGCAGAGCGCGCTGCGCCTCGGCCAGAGGGCAGCAGGTCCTTGGCATGACGTCCTCGGGACGATGCCCCCACCCCTCGGGGCCTCCCCGACACGCTCACGAGGCGCATCCGCCTCCGCCTCTCGCAGGCGCCCGAGCCGGGGCGGCCAAGCTTCGTGGCATCGTTGGCCGCCTGTGGCTCTGGCTCAGGCTGTCTTTCAACAGGCAGCGCTTGCCCTGAGAGCTGCCCCCCCGTGCTCCGAAAGCGCCGAGGGTGGGCGAGTTCTGGCTCGTCGCCGCCCGCGGGCGCCCTCGGTGCCCCCATGGTCCCCCTCAAGTATGGTGCCCTCTGGAGCTCGGAGTGGGCGCGGGCGCCCGGCTGGAGGAACGGCCTCGCCCGCGGCGCCCCCCGCAGATTGCACGATGCAGGTTAGCCCTCCACCGTCCGTCGCCGCGCCATTTGTTCTCGACGCGCCCAGGGTGGACGACGCCGACACCACGGCAAACCCACGCCAAACCCTGCGCCCCTGCGCCCCAAGTAGACGAAACTTGCACCGCGGCAAACCCCACGGCAAGCCCACCGCGTCCGAGGCAGCGTCTGCCCTGGTGGCCACGGCGCCCTCCCCAAGACGTAAGGCCGCGGGTCGGAACACACGGCTCGGCGACATAGATTGCCCCGCATAGATGGCATCACAATTGCACCACGTTTGCTGCTCCATATAGAAAGCACCACGTTCAAATTGTAGCGCACCTATTGCGCCCCATAGGTTGCATGACACACGCAGACTGCACCACAAATACTGCACCACACACAGAGATTGCACCACCGATGTTGCATCGCAAAACAGTCACCGTGCCTGAAACACGCAATGGAGCGCTCCAAA